GGTGGTGGGGGGAGACTAAGGGGGCTCTGGTACCGCGTCTGACCCAGCGGCGGCCGCGGCAGGGGGCGATCGCCAGGGTTCAGGGAAGGGGCCATCCTCACTCTCCATTCGAAGGGTTAATTCTGCAGCCGAATGTCCCCCTCCTCTGTGGGGCAGGTTGGGGGTGGGGTGGGGCGGGTGTTGAGCCCGGGCCGGCGCTGCAAGCTGCTGGGAGGGTGATGGCGTAGGAGCCAGGCAGAGAGGGGGAGGGGTGGGCCGCCGAGCTCCCCAGAGTTCGGGTGCGCGGGGTGCACTGGGCGAGCAGGGGCCCCAGAGCTGCTGCGCCGTCAGGGCAGGGTTGTGGCTGTGAGTCCTGGAGATTGTGTGACTCCGGCTGTGTTGTGGGGCAAGGTAAACCTCTCCAGGGCACCACCGTTTGCTGGTCTGGCAGCCAGGGGTCTGGGTAGAGTCCTCCCTGGGCCATGGGAACAGAAAGCCAGATGGTGGAGTGTCCACTATTGTGGGACAAAATTACAAGATGTAGCCCGGTGGCTTTGGGTGACAGGTCCACATTCAAAGCAAGGTACAATACATGCAGGGTTTGTTAGATGTGGGTTTTATGCATGTTTTATACCAGCATGTTTTCTTGCATGTATGTCTTGGTCTGCACATATGAACTATTTATGAACTTGTGTTTTCTATATAGCTGTCATGGTGTTAGTGCTGTGGGCCACATCAGAGTGCAGGGTACATATGCCTATTTAGTGGGGGCCATTGTGTACCTTTGAGTTGGAAGGTGTCATATTTAGTTCGCATTTCTGTGGCCCTGCTGAGATATGGTCCAGTCTTGGTGAGGTAGGCCCACTGGATGGGTTTGTGTGTTTGTATGATGATTGAGTTGAGGGGGGAGAGTGCATGTCTAGAACTCAGGTTCTACTTATCATGTGGAATGTGAGAAACCCTAAGTCGCGTCTCAAGGTACTTATGGAGCAGCTGGCACTGGTGTGAGGGGCTCTAGGTGGAATGTGCAGGTTGTGTTTATGGGATCTTGGGCAGCCGAGCGAGGGGAAGGTTGTGTGTGTGCAACAGTCTCTAAGGGATTCTTTTGTGACGTTGTTTGTGGGAGCCTGTCCATGTTATTGGGCTGGGAGGCAAGCTGGTCAGAAAACACTTGTGGGGAGGGAGGTGGCGTGACAAGGGCATGTGGGCCTCAACCTCGAGAGATCAGCCACAAGCTATGTGTGCGTGCCTCCCTTCTTTGTGTTTAAGTGGCCGTGTGGGGCTGCTGTGGGGCTATGTTAGGAAAAAAGCAGGAAGATAAATATGGGGCATAGCAAGGGCAACAGGCGGGAGGCTTGGGTGTCCTCAGGATAGCTCAGCTAGTCTCTTTGTGTAGGGTCTGTGTGCATACCCCTCTCCAGCCTGTCCAGCATGTCAGGGTCATTGGGAGGAGAGGCCTGGCTGCTGCAAGGAAAATGAACTTGGACGGAGTGGCTCCTTGGTCATGTTTACGTAAAGGCCGGGTGTGACTCTTGTCACTGAAATGGAAAAAAGAAACATGAAGTTTTTAGCCTCCTCCTCCTGCTTCACCCTCTCTCTGCCCCTCTTTCAGCTATCTCTGCTTTTCTGTCTCTTCTGTTATGCACACTGGGCCACTCCTACGACTGTGGAAGGGTCTGGGAACAGAATTTGCTCACTAGGCAGATTCCTTAGAACAGGTTTTCCTCACCTTCGGGGCCTGGGCCCTGCTGTAGATGTGGTTGTGTGTGTGTGTGTGCGCGTGCGCGCACACATGTAGGGAGTGAATGGTTTGTGTTCTAAGTGTACATACCACTGTACTGCGCCTAGCCTGGCTGGGAGGGTGGATATGCATGGGGCAGGGAAGTCACTATGGCTGGGGCCTCCTGGGGGTAGGGGGTTGCTGGCTACTGTGAGAGGCCTATATAACAGGTGCATGATGGCCTAGTGGAGGGAAAGGAGGTCTAGACTAGAACCAAAGGGGTTCTGACCCTACCGCTTCCTCACTGGCACTTTCCCTGGGTGAGCCTCAGTTCCTTATCTGTAAAATGGGGCTAATTGCCTGCCCTGCCTATCTTCCAACAGGGTTGTAAGAAAGTAGCACATGGGAAATGTACCTGGAAAGTAGCTACTGTTTGGGGACTATGCCTATGCCAACAATTGTCAGCCCTCTGCCATCACTGAGCCCCTTGTTGGGGCTTGGCTAATAACAATAGCAGTGAACAGTTATTTGGCATTCACTGTGTACCAGGCGCTATTCTCAGTGCTTTTATATAGGATCACTCATTTAGTTTTCGCAATGCCCTGTAGAAGTAGCTATTCTAATTATCTCTCTTTTTCAGATGAGACAACTGAGACCCAGAGAAGTAATTTGCCCAAAGCCATTTAGCTAGTAAGAGGTAAAGCTGGATTTGAACACAGGCAGTCTGGTTCCAGATCCTGTGGTCTTCTATACTGTCCTCTGCTGCCTTTTCGAAGCTTTCCGTGGGTCTCTGCGCACACATTTTTTCCCCAGTTTCTGTATAACTTAGCACCAGCATCAATCCATTTCAGAAGACCAGTGTGTTTAGACAGTGACTCAGGGAGTCCTTGCCTGGGTACTAGCTAAAATGTTGATGAGCCAGGTAAAAGAGAGATTGTCCTTGTCTTGTGCGTCAGGAAGGGCCAAGAGGGAGGTGGCATTTGAGTTTGATCTTAACGCTTTGGAGGGCGTTGGGGAAGAGGTTGGGAAAAGGCTGCATTTCTGGCAGGAGGACCAGCATAGGCAAAGGCATGGAGGTGCAGGATGTATTGAGGTTGGAAAGTAAACTGGGTACTTGAAGGGAGACTAACACAAGTCAAGATTAGAAAGGAAGATTGGAACTAGACCCTTGAATGCCTGGATGAGGAATTTGAACTTTATTCTGGAGTGAGTGGGGACCAGTGAAGGATTCTAAGCCTAGAAGCGATATCACTTCAGCTGTACTGGGGACGTTGACCTTTAGTAATAGGAAGGTTGGCTGGTAAAAAGTAAGCTTGGGGTCAGTGGAATAGCTGAGAGGTCATGGCCTTGGACCATGCCAGTGTTAAAAGGCCCTGAGCTAGTTTGGGGGCCAGAGGCGGGTTGAAGGGAAGGCTTCCAGAGCCATTCCCAAGCTGGGCTGCAGATTCGACAGGACTTGGTGACTGCTGGATATGGGCAGCTAGGGAAAGGGCGGAGTCAGACGTGACACAATTAGCACTTAGCACGTGAGACCTTGTGTGTTGATTTCCACAACCAGCTGGCTGGCCATAAGCCCCTTTGGAGCAGAATTCGGCAGTTTGGAAGAGGGAAAGACTCAGCATCTGGGTTCACACAGACCCGGATTTGAATTTTGACTCTGTGCCTCACAAGCTGTGTAACCTTGAGCAAGGTATATTTATCCCTTTGTGAGTCTCAGTTTCCTCATCTGTAAAATTGGGATAATATAAATATTGACTTTGAGGGGTCATTTGAAGGGAAATCATTAAATGAGATAATGCACGTAAAGCCCTGGAAGTATATCAGGCAAAGGGTGAGTTCCCAGAAGTGGTCAAGTACGCTTATCATCCCAGCTCCTGGCCAACTCAGTCTGGCACTGAGGATGGCTTCCTTCCTGAGGGCAGAGAGACTCTAGGCAGACTTTGAAGAATGCAGTTTCATGCATTCACCAAAATATTTAAATCTCCCATTATATATCAGGCACTGTTCTAAGCACTGGGGATAGCAGTAAACAAAACAGACAAAAACCTCTCCCTCCCTTGGAGATTACATTCTAGAGATAAATGAACACTAAATGCCAAGAAAAAAAAGTAGGGGAGAAGGATAGGAAGTTTGGGAAGGCAGCGGGTGGCCAGGGAAGGCCTCCAGAGGAAGGTAACTTTTGAGTTTAGGCTTAAAGGAGGTGGGGCAGCAAGACATGAAGCTATCTGAAGAAAGAACATTCCCAGCAGAGGGAACAGCAAGAGGTGGAGTGTGTCTGGTGGCAGTGCTTTCATCCCCACCTCAGACACACCTTTAAGATCACACAGTCAGTCCAGAGTAGAGAAACAGTAAAAACAAATAAAAAACGAAAAACCACAGAGCCACCAAACCTACCATGAAGCCTGATTTCTGCCTTTTTCTTCACCACTTCCCCCCACCATTTTCCGGGACTGAGTTCCAAGATGATGATAAGAGTGAGCACTTTCTGAGCAGTTACTATGTGCCAGGTACTCTTCTAGGTACTACCAGTTATTAACTCACTTACAACAACCCTATGAAGTGGAGACTCTTCATTATCTCTACCTCACAGATAAGGAAAAGGAGACACAAAGAGGTTAAATTAAGTAACTTGCTCAGGGTCACATAGCTATTGTCTTCTCCACCTTCTATAAGCCTTTGTAGGGCAGTGGCCAGTGGCGAGGCAGTCAACTCAGGAGAGCTGGGTCCAAACCTGATTTGGTTAGCAGTGAGACCAGGGAAGATCACCCTGCCGCTATGTTCTCTATACCTGAAAGTGAGGAGTTTAGAGTATTTAAAACCTCATTCTTCTCATCTGTACAATGGGATTGACGATGGTCCTTTTTGAGTGTTGAAATAAGATGATGCAGAGAAAATGTTTAGCTCTGTACCTGGCACATAGTATTTCATAAATGGCAGCTATAAGTACCATGGTGATGATATTCTAGGTGATCTCTGAGCTAGGCCATCTTTGAACTTTTCTGGTTCTAAGAAGCCTCAATAGTCCTTCTCCAAGTATCTTGACAGCACATAGCAATGCCTCAGCAGGCACTACGCCTGCGTGGTTGTGCAAGTGGCCTACCCAAGGAGGTAAGTCGGGGATTGGAATCGAACCTTCACTTTGCTCATCTGTGCAGAGCTGCTACCTCCTGGAGGTAGGGGCCCTTCCTCTAATCTTCACAAAGGTGTTATGTGGGCTAGTGGGGGCCCTCGTGGGTGCTGTTGAAAGAAAAACACAACTGTTTTTCTATACACTCTACTTATAACACTTCCGATACAAAATGTGTGGATTTCTCCCACACTTCCAATTCTCTGACACTAGCTGGATATCTACAGCTCAATTTAATTCTGACAGTACCTGGAGATAGTGTCAGATCCCACAAGGTAAGGGCTTGGTCCCACAAGACTGCTCCCACTTCAGATGCCATTTGCACGTCCAGGCCTCCTATACTGACCAGCTATAAACTGGAGTTTCCCATGACCACTTCCTCAGATTTGATAATTTCTAGAATGGCTCATAGAAATGAGAGAAACACGTTTACTGATTTATTACGTAATAAAGGATAAGATAATATAGATGAATAGTGAATGAAGATGTATGAGCTCGAGACCTTCTGTTTCACAGAGTTGGGGTGCGCCGCCCTCCTGGCATGTGGATGTGTTTGCCAACCTCGAAGCTCTCTGGACCCCATAGTTAAGGAATTTTTATGGAGGCTTCCTCACTTAGGCATGATCGATTAGTAACTTAGTTTCCAGTCCCTCTCCCTTCCCCTGAGGTTAGAGGTGGGGTAGGACTGAAAGTTCCAAGCTTCTAATCATGACTTGGTCTTTCTTGTGACCAGCCCCCATCCAGGAGCCCACCAAGAGTCACCTCATTAGAACAAAAGATGCTCCTATCACCCAGGGAATTCCAAGGGATTTAGGAGCTTGGTGTTAGGAACCAGGGTCAAAGACCAACTATTAGAACAAAAGATGCTCCTAATGCTTTATCACTTAGAAATTTCAAGAATTTTAAGAGCTCTGTGTCTCTTATGGAGACAAAGACCAAATATATATTCCTATTGTATCAAAATATCATAGCTGTAAACATACCCTTCACCCCGATGTTATATAGGCAAGAACACAAGTGTTGGAGCCAAACTTCCTGGGATCAGATCCCAGCCCGGCTAATAACTGGTCATAGATCCTTGGACGTGCTATCTAGCACCTCTGAGCCTTGGTCTGTCACTTTAAAATGGGGAAACTAACCACTACCTTTTAGAGTAGTGAAAAGGAAAGGAGCAAATGAGGTAATGCAAGTAAAGCACTGACTGTTGGGGATCCCACTGGGCCAGTAGTAGTCGTGAAAGGGAGTGGGAGGCCTTGCTCTCTTTTCTCACTTTACAACCAGACCCATCTGCAATTTAACAACTGACAGGGTAGCACTGATCCAGGTGTGTGTCTGGCTGTCAGGGCTCTTGAACTTTTGCACATCATCCCTGTTTTTCACCTTCCTCCTCTTTTTATAGGAGAGGAGGCAGAGCAGTCTTTCGGGAACGTGAAATGGACTATGTAGGCAAGGCTGTTTAGTCCAGATAGTATCAATACTAAATGGGAAAAGAAGGTTTTTTGGAGGGGTGGGAATTGTATGAGGCACTCATGCAGGACACATCAGAGGAAATGTGTCACCCAGGGTATTCGGAAGAACACTCCCAGGCTTCATGGAGGGTGGATGAGAGGGACCAAGAGCTCTGCTTTCAGGTAAGCAGGACTAGCTCTGTGAACAGATCCTGTCTGTTATCAGCTCTGTGTGACTTTGGCTAAGTCACTGTATGGCTCTGAAACGCAGATCTTCAACTGAAAAATGGGACACCCAAGCCCTGGCTGTACTTACAGAGGAGAGTGGCTGTGAGTTTCCTTCTATGTGGTAACCACCACAGATCACATTTGGGTTACCTGCTACTCCTTTTGGATGAGTCTTCCAGAAAGAGGTGAAGTCCTAAAGCCACCAGCTCTCAGACCCAAGATTCCTCACTCCCGGTCTATGCCCCCTATCCAGTGTCCCCCAGAGACAGAGACAGGCTGGCACGTGTATGAATTATGGTCTTTGGTGGTCTCCTGTGAGGAAAGTCTCTCAATTTGAATATCTAGCAGCTTGGTCCAATAAAAAAGCTCAAGCAAATCTATTTTGATATATAAAAAAGATCATTATAATAAAAGACAACATGCAAATCTTTGATTTCCTTTGAGCCCCAAGACTGGGCCAAAAGGACTTGAGAGTGATCTAACAGGCTTCCCTGGAGCTATGGGACTGAACTAAGCTGCTGTATGTTTTAAAGCGAATAATATGCAAATTATCTTGTTCTTGTACTTCTGGGGGTCAGTAGAACAAGGCTTTGCAATAATCTGTGTGACCTCCTAGGTCTGATTGGATATGGCTAAGCAAATAACCTGACAGAGGCTCCTGGGAAGTTCAGAGCCTGCAGAGCAGCCCAAGCATCCTCTTTGACCCAAGAGCTATACCACCACGCACCTCCTGGTGTCCCTTCCTTCCCAGTTCCCTTACTGAGGACATAGTTTCTGTTTCTTCACAGAGGGAAGAGGCCCGGCAGAAGGGACTTGCTGAGCCACCCCCATTCCGCTCCATGTTGGCTGTGCTCTCAGGTGAGATGGTGAGAGGTTTGCAGCTACAAAAATTGAACCTGAGGCAGCAGGCCAGCAAGGGCAGCCATTTTGTCTAGGCTGGGGAATAGTGTGAAATGGTCATCAGTTTCTGTGGGGCCTTCCTCCTCCTGCCAGTGGGAGAGAGGTATCCATTGCTTACTTCTCTAGTCTGTGACTTTAAAGGTTTTGACCCCTTGACCTTCATTAAGACCTAAAGTATCCCTGGCATCTTCTAGCCCTAGATGTTTGACATACTGGTATTGGATGCTGGCCAGACATGGGTGACTAAGGTTAACCCCTGAATTCTGTGACCAAAAGTTAGTCAGCCTTCCACTAATCTCCGAACAACAACCTCTAACCCCCTCTCAGCTCACTTCCCTGATTTAAGAGGCCCCTGCCCTCTGCCCAGCCTCTGAGATCCTCCCTGGCCTCTTCTCCTCTGTCTAGGCTGGCACCATGCCCCCCCCAGCAGAGGTGACGGACCCGTCCCATGCCCCCGCCGTCCTGCACCAGCTCAATGAGCAGCGGCTCCGTGGCCTCTTCTGTGACGTCACCCTCATAGCCGGAGACACCAAGTTCCCTGCTCACCGCAGCGTCCTGGCTGCTTCTAGTCCCTTCTTCAGAGAGGCCCTGCTTGCTTCAGCCCCACTGCCCCTCCCACCAGTTACTGGGGGCTCAGCCCCCAACCCTGCCACCACCACAGCTGCCTCCTCTTCCTCTTCTGCCTCTTCTTCCTCTTCCTCCTCCTCCTCCTCCTCTTCTCCCCCTCCAGCCTCGCCCCCCACTTCATCCCCACCCCGGGTCCTGGAGCTGCCAGGGGTGCCAGCAGCTGCCTTCTCCGATGTCCTCAACTTCATCTACAGTGCCCGGCTTGCACTGCCTGGCGGCGGAGGGGACGGGGCAGCTGTGGCAGAGATCGGAGCTCTAGGGCGGCGTCTGGGCATCTCCCGCCTGCAGGGCCTGGGGGAGGGAGGTGATGCCTGGTTACCTCCTGCCCCAGCCCCAATGGCCACCTCGCAGCCTGAAGAGGACAGCTTTGGGCCTGGGCCTAGGCCAGACGGGGAGTGGGAAAGTGACAGGGCTGAGGCCCAGGCCTCTGACTTGCAGCCCCCACTGCCCCGGCGCCCCGTCCTCTGCCCCCGATGTGGGAAAAGCTTCATCCATCCTAAGAGGCTACAGACCCATGAGGCACAGTGCCGTAGGGGGGCCAGCAGTCGGGGGTCTGCAGGACTGGGAGCCGGGGGCTCTGGCCCCAGTGGCCCGGCAGGAGTGGAGGCCTCAGCTCTGCCTCCTGCAGTGGGCTTCAGAGGTGGCCCCGAGCATGTAGTGAAGGTGGTGGGCGGCCACGTGCTGTATGTGTGCGCGGCCTGTGAGCGTTCCTACGTGACCCTGTCCAGCCTGAAGCGGCACAGCAACGTACACTCCTGGCGGAGGAAGTACCCCTGCCGCTACTGCGAGAAGGTGTTTGCCCTGGCTGAGTACCGTACCAAGCATGAGGTGTGGCACACCGGGGAGCGCAGGTGAGTGGCCTGGGGCTGGGGTTTGGGGTGGGTGGGGGCAGTCAGGTGAAGAGTCAGCACTCAAGAACCACATGAACGAGGGAGGGAGTGGGCAGAGCATGGGGCTTAGGAAGTCATTCTAAGACATCTGCTCACCACTGGCCCCTGCTCTCCATCACTCACCCATCTGCCTCCCTCCAACCCCAGTTCCTACTGCTCATGCTTGCTAGCACCTCTAGATGCCATGTTCTGGCTTGGTGCTATGGAGAAGGCCAAGGAGGAAAAAGAAAGTCGCCCTCACAAGAAAGGACTGTGGGGAACACAGGGATGCCCCCCAGTAGTTATAATATGTATTTCCATAATGTATCCCTGTTCATAAGACATTACCCCATTCTGTCATTTGAGCTTCAGAAGGTTTTGTTAGGCAAGGTGTGTGTGATTATTCCCAATTCACTGATGGAACAGCTGAGGCCCAGTGTCTCACAGCTGGTGGGGGGCACTAAGCTAGGACTGGTGTCTTTCCTGAGGCTGGCAGGGTGGGATAAGCAGCATGAAAGGAGGGTGAACAAATGGCTAGGGGGAGTTCTAGGTCTGAGTAGAGGGCAGTAGAGGACATAGGAAGCTGAAGCCCTGGTTTCAGGGCCCATGACAACTGGCTCTGTCCCTGCCGTGTTCTCTCTGTCCTGGCCCAGGTACCAGTGCATCTTCTGCTGGGAGACCTTTGTCACTTACTATAACCTGAAGACCCACCAGCGAGCCTTCCATGGCATTAGCCCAGGCCTCCTAGCCAGTGAGAAGACACCCAATGGAGGCTATAAGCCCAAGCTCAATACCCTTAAGCTGTACCGCCTGCTCCCCATGCGAGCAGCCAAGCGGCCCTACAAGACCTACAGCCAGGGAGCCCCTGAGGCCCCGCTTTCTCCAAACCTCAACACATCAGCCCCTGCAGCAATGCCAGCCAGCCCACCACCCAGACCCCCACCTGCCCCAAAGCCTTGTCCCCCACCCTCTGTCATCACTTTTGCCCATCCAGCTCCCTCTGTCATTGTTCATGGGGGCAGTAGTAATGGGGGAGCAGGGGGTGGGCTGGCCAGCACAGGGGGGGCCCAAGCTGCCTCAGTCATCACTTACACTGCTCCCCCAAGGCCTCCCAAAAAACGTGAGTACCCACCTCCTCCACCAGAGCCTGCAGCCACACCAGCCAGCCCAGCCATAGCAGGCAGCCCAGCAACGGCTGCAGGGCCTGCCACAGCCACAGAGGAGGCCAAAAACCGAAACCTGCGGGCTGGAAGGACTCTGACCTACACAGCCAAGCCAGCTGGTGGGATTGGCGGGGGCGGGGGTCCTCCTGCAGGGTCTGGTCGGGGCCCCTCTCAGTTACAGGCACCACCTCCACTGTGTCAGATCACTGTGCGAATCGGTGAGGAGGCCATTGTCAAGCGCCGCATCTCAGAAACTGACTTGCGTCCTGGGGAGCTGAGTGGAGAGGAGGTAGAGGAGAGCGAGGACGACGATGAAGAGGAAGACGAGGAGGAGGAGGAAGAGGAGGAAGAGGAATCGAAGGATGGTGCGGAGGACCAGCTCTGGAGGCCCTACTACTCCTACAAACCCAAGCGCAAGGCTGGAGCTGCAGGCTCCAGCAGCAGTGGGGGCAGTGGGATGCCTAGAGGCCGCAGGCCACCACGCTGGAGACAGAAGCTAGAACGGAGGAGCTGGGAGGACACCCCAGCGGCTGAGGGCCCCACGGGGCGTGCCTGTGGTGAGCGTAGGCACCGCTGTGGGGACTGTGTCCAGACATTCGCCACCTTGAGGAAGCTGCGAAAGCACCAGGAGGCCCACAGTGGGGGCTCCCACAGCTCCCGAGCTGGACGGAGGCCTTCCACCCGCTTCACCTGCCCTCATTGCTCCAAGGTGTGCAAGACTGCAGCTGCCCTGAGCCGCCACGGGCAGAGGCATGCTGCTGAGCGGCCTGGGGGCACACCCACACCTGTCATTGCCTACTCCAAGGGCAGCACTGGCACCAGACCTGGGGATGTCAAGGAAGAAGCCCCCCAAGAAATGCAAGTCTCCTCATCCAGTGGGGAGGCAGGTGGCGGGAGTGCTGCTGCTGAGGAAGCTTCTGAGACCGCCTCACTCCAGGACCCTGTCATCTCAGGGGGTGAGGAGCCCCCAGTGTTGGCAGGAGGGGGTACCTATGCATACCCGCCTGTGCAGGAATTTCCGCTGGCTCTGATTGGGAGTGGCCGGGAACCTGGTGGTGGCAGAGGAAAACCTGGGAGTGATGGGCCAGGGGGGGTTGGGGAAGGGGACCGGATGGAAGGAATGGGGGCTGCCAAAGTCACTTTCTACCCTGAGCCCTACCCACTTGTCTATGGCCCCCAGCTCCTTGCTGCCTACCCTTACAACTTCAGCAACTTGGCTGCTCTCCCAGTTGCTCTTAACATGGTCCTACCTGATGAGAAAGGTGGAGGGTCTCTTCCCTTCCTACCAGGGGTCTTTGGCTACGCAGTCAATCCTCAAGCAGCACCCCCTATGCCCCCAACTCCACCTCCCCCAACTCTTCCTCCACCAGTCCCCCCTAAGGGAGAAGGGGAACGAGCAAGGGTCGAGGGAACCCAGAAGGGAGATGTGGGGTGAGCTCTGGGCCCAGATCCCCCCTTTCACCAAATGCCACCCACCCTGAACCCCCTGCCACTACCAGCCCCTGGCCTCCCTACCCCTTGGGAGCCCCTCCACATTTTTGTGCAGGGACTTAGGGGCCCCTGGAGCTCAGGAGTCAGGCTGTTTTGTGTGAGATTGTAGTTTTCCCATCTCCTGGGAAGGGATCTTTGGTGGTTCCCCTCTCAGTTCTCCACCAGGGAATGGCCTCCATGAGGGGCAGGGCCAGCTCCCATCCCTTCTCCAGCCCTTGGGGCAACTGAGCAATATACTTATATAAATCTCTACTCATGGCCCCCACCAGCTCTGAATGTCTAACCTACCCCCCTGATTCGTAAAACTAGGGGGAAACCATCTCCCTCACCTAATGATCCCCCCTCATTTTGAAGCTTTCTCTAAGCCCTTGCCAAGATGCTTCCTAGCACATTCCATTCGTGGCCCAGGGCCTGGACCAGACCATTGTGATACCCGACACCTATCCACCTGGAAGCTTGGCTTTGGATTCTATTCTTCCTAGGGTGGATTTCTGTGTCCCTGTTTCCTCCACGTTAAATTGCCATGCCTTCCTTAGCTTCCATGCCTTTGGATCTTCCATATTCCTCCTCATTCTCCTTGACTCTGCAGAAGGCCTCTCCTAATTCAGGTCGAGGAGGTGTTGGGGGGAGGGCTACCCATCTGCTTCACAGTTAAGCACTTTCCCAGCCCAGGGCAGCACCAATATTGGCCCTATCTTTACCCCCAAATCCAGTGAGCCCCAGATTCTTCCAAGGCAAAAGAAGTGAATAGATCACACCTCTTCCTGCCTATACATATGGCCTCTTCTGGGCTAACCCAGATTTGGGGGCTAGGAGGGAGGAGTTCCTTATGGGATGGGGAAGGGAATCTACTTTCTCCCTATTTTTTCCTGATGGTTTCTCCCAGACTAGACCAAATAGCCAGAAAAATGATGGGGGTTAGATGGGTGGGTAAGCCCAAGATTTGCACATGACCTCCCATCCTTACCTTTACCCCCATCTTCCCCAATGTCACTTCCCTCACCAATCACTCCAGATGGTTTTTGGGGAACCATTCTACTCCCTTGGTGGGCTTTGAGGTATCCCCACCAACTTTCCCTCCAAAATAGCACCTTATACCCCATCTTTGACTCAGTTCCCCACACCCAAAGATCCCAGCCTAGGGATGGGGTGCAGGGACTTTTAATAGTCCCTAATCCCTAATTTGCACTAGTTAACCCTGGCCAAGGGTCCCCTTTCTTTCCAGTGGGGAGTTGAAATGTTTGCTCCTAATTCTCTGATAACTGGGTCTTCCCAGTCTGTGATTGGATGAATATTTCCCATTTTACCCGCCTCCCTCCACCCTCAAAAAAACAAAAACAAAAACAAAAACAGCTCACAAGGGTAGAGCCAGTTTTGGGGAGCAAATTTGATAAATGGGAATTAGAGGAGTGCAGTTTTAAAAAGGGGAAAGTTGCTGTTATCAAAATGGCAGCCTTTTTTCCAGCTACTGTTTCTAGAGCCAAGATGGCTGCCCTCAACAGATGTTGAAAGGGCAAGATCATGGCTTTTGGAAGGAGGTGCGTTTGTGGAGAGGGACAGGAGCATCCTCCTGCCTCCTCTTACCCTCCCAGCCTATACAAAGGGAGAGGCTTTTGACAGGCTCCCTGAATGTTAACCACGGAGGAGTGTTACTCTTTCACTCCTCCTCTGTCTCTTTGCACTTTTCTTGGTCTTGGCCACAGTCCGAGTGAAGAGTTTTCCTACTGAATGTACCAAGTTCCAATTTTTATGGGAGAAAAAAAATTTTAAGCGGAAAATGCAAAAAAAAAAAAAAATCACTAAAAAGTTCCCACAAATCTTGTTTCTGGCACTTTAGAAAAACTGCGAAAAAAGTACATAAGAATACATATATCTATCTACACACAATATATATATATGTATACATATATATATATACACACACACACATACACACATATACACAGCGGAACCATAAGAGAGACTGAGGAAGGCCTTGGGAAAAGGAGGCAGATAGGATGACATCCCCCTATATCCTTGTTCTGCACTCCTCTGAGGCAAAAAAAAAAAAAGCACAGGAGATGGAAGGGGTTGAGGATGCACCAGGGAATTTGAATTTCAGAACAGGTCAAAATGCCAAAACCATGGACATTTTGGGAGAACTGAGATTGTAGACATTTATTTTTTTGAAAATATGATTTAGGAAAATAGTTTCCAGAATTTGGTGTTTCTGGGCAACAAATGAGATTGTGGCAAAATGGAGATTAAAAGATGTATCTGAGCTGGGGAACTTGAATATTGTGAGTGTCAGATGTTGGAAGTTTGGGATTTTACAATTTCGTCTTGGAAATTTTCAAGTCTTGTCAGTTTGTGCCCTCTTTCCCCATGTTCCCTGGGAAGAGGGGTGATGGTGGAGTGGGAAGGCCACTGGTTCTGTGCCACAGCACGCAAGATTTAGAATTCTACAGATTCTAGCTCTATATGTAGTGAGGACCCAGATTTAGAGAAACTGACCGATATTTATCTCCGCATTTGTGTGTGTGTCCAACTCTCTAGGCCAATAAACCAACAAGACAAATGAACTGTGCTTTGCAGTGGGATGCCAAGTGCAATTATTTGCGTGGCTGGTGGGTCTGGCCGGACAGGGACATGCTGACCTTGTCCCACAGGGATCTTTGGGAGTTGTAGCCCTATTCTCCTTAGGACAACAACTCCCAGCAATTAAGTAGGTGTGAGGGCTTGCTGACCATCGGTACTTCACTGTATTTGCTGCAGCCAGTAGGCCCAAACTGGTCTGACCTCCAGGCAGAAACATTAAACTCAGTCCAGTTCACACAGCCTGATGGGCACAAGATCTTCATGTCCCAGAAAGGCACAGCCTTAAACCAGGTGCAACCCTTTCTCTAAACTGAAAGGAAGCTAAAGAACAAAATGTGTGATGGCTGTAAGAGACACAAGATTTTTCCAACTTGTTCTCCCATTGGCTTCAACTCCTTGTCGCCCCTCCTCTTACCTGTATTTTGTCTAGTGTTATGGAGAGATGGGCAAGTAAAACGAGTAAAGCTGATCGGCTGGCAGGGGGCGGGGGGGAGGGTGCGTCTTTGAGGAACTAACTGTAATGGGCAGCTACTAATAAGCTCTAGCAGGTTGCTGGAATTAGGCCTGGTCTTACTGTAGTTTTTTACATTTTTCAAGAGAAGCCAGAAATCAAAATTTCTCTGAAACATCCAAATTTTGAAAGTAGTGAACTAATTCAAATTTAAAGTTATGCAGGCCAACATCATGGGCCAAACAAAACACCAGTTTGCAACCTCTGATACATACTATATAGTGCTTGTTCTCATCTCATATGGTCCTCAGACTAGGGGGCAGATACCATTATTAGTACCATTGCACATAAGTGGAAACTTAGACACAGAGCAATTTAGTAGCTTGTTCTAAGTTTAGGCACGAAAGCTAGAACTTTAATGGAAATTTTTAAACTATGCTTTCCCCCCTTCATTACAAGTGCATCCTTTTAGAAATAACCTTTTTTATCCTATAGATAATACTTTTTTCAAAACATAATAAATTACGAAAAGGTAAAAACAAAGAAAAAATGACCACTAGTCTCAACATGCAAATATAAGTACTATTAATTGGTGTATTTCCTTCCAGAAAAAAAATTTCCCTATTTATTTAACAAATGTTAAGCACCTACTGTAGGTTAGGACTAGGTGCTAGGGATATTACAGTGAACCAGAGTTCCTGCCCACATTAAGGTTTACAGTCTAGTTCTTGTTCTTTGCTCCATTTTCCTGGAACCTACGTGTTGGTATCCAAAGGAGCTTCTTTAAGAAGCCAAAGAGTAAATAACACTGATAGCGCATTTCTGGTGGGCCCAAGGCCTCCATCTGCCCAGTCCCGCTTTGGCTCTCTCCCCAGAATCAAAATGATGAGTAGACTGGATTCCTAATGAAAGAGTCAAGGGGCAGAAAGGGATAGGGCTCGAGAGTACAGCCGAACTCTCAATTCAGCTGGCCGAGGACCCTACGTCCTCAAGGAAACGGTTCGGGAGGGGGCAAGTGGTAAGAGGCGTCCAGGAAGATGACTAGGGTCCCGACGCTCGTGAAGATGATGAAGGTCCACAGGAAGAGGCGGTCCACTACCATGGCCACAAATTGCCAGTCTTCCTTCAACTGGGAGTAGGCAGACAAAAATATTCCTGAGCTCCAGACCCCCGGGAAGGCCGCCCCCAAGGCCCTGTAACCCGCCCTAGTCCTCCTATCACAGCTCTGAGACCCGGCGGGCTGCAAAAGAGATGAGAGCCACACTGCAGGAGGTGGGTGAGAGTAAAGAACCAGTCGGATAGCAGGGGCGGGACCAAATGAGGCAAACTTCCAATCAAAAATAAAACCAAGGGCTAGGGGCGGAGCCCAAGTTTGCGGGTGGAGCCCAGGCCACCAAGGCACTACCATGCTTCATCCATCCTCACCAGACTTACCGCATCCTGGTCTTCCTGTTCCTGCAGCTGTTGAGCGATGTAATTGATCGAGGAAACGACCTCCCGTAGCTCAGGGGGCAGGCCCACAGCCCGGTTTGGGCCATCGATAGATCGCCGCAGATCCGGGGCTGATGGTTCAAGCTGGAACCTGGAAGAGGCGGGACCATTTGGTCACGCCCCGAGCGCAAAAATACAGCCAGTGCCAGGGCTCTAGGCCCCGCCCCACACCCTGTATTTTTCAAAACTTAAAAGGGCCCTTCATGCTCTCCCCGCCAGCGGTGACCTCTCCAGCCTTCTGCAATTCCTCTCATCCCCTCTGTCTTAGTTCTCACCTTTGCGCAAAGTAGGCAGCGGAAGGGATACTATAACTCCCATGATGCTCAACCACAGCATCTTTTGGGAGTTTAGGCTGCCTTCCTCGGCACAGTCTTCTGGGAACAGTAGTTCCCCCTCTTCTTATATGTGGGCAATGGGAAGTAAGTACTACCTGTTTGGTTTCGGGAAGAGAAAATCAGTCGGTGGCTTCCGGATGAAATATTCATCTGTTCCCCAACCCCAGCCACTTCCAGGAGAATCCTTGAGAGCTATAGGAGGTGGCTCCGGCATCTGATCTCTCTCAGGTTTGGGCCTCTTCAGACCCAGGTAGAGAGGAAGTTTGTAGATGAAGATCTGTAGAGTAGAAGAGGCGTGTTGCTTTTAGACCAGAAGGGAAGCAGCCAACCATCCCCATGCCGCATGCCCATTACTGAGCATGTGCTCATATGTCTCACAGAGCTACATTGACAAAGAAATGGAATCACACAGCCTTTAGAGCTCTTAAGTGGGTTGGGAGGCATCCTGACTGGAAAGGAAAATTCTAAAGGCTTCCATCCTGATAACACCTAATCCTGAGAATGTTATCCTGAGACCCAGGATAAACAGTATTGATAAAGAGAGTGTGGGATCTATGAAATGGTTATGATGGAAGGGTAAAATTAATTGTGCAACGTTTCAACACCCAACAGGCCTTGGTACTTCAATACTCTATGAGAAGTTGTAGTTCTCCCTCAGGTCTGCGAAAAGGAAGTTTGAAGTGGTGGGAGGGAAGAGTAATACCTCGACAAAAATCCAAATACTAAAATTAAGAGTTAACACAGGCTGAAGATTTTCTTACCTGTCGGACCCAAAAGGGCATTTGGTGGGTGTGGGGTGAGCGATGGTGCAGGTTGAGGACTACGACACTAAGGATGACTGAGAAGGTAACGAGGACCATGGTAAACATGAGGTACTTGATAATGATGGGGACAGACAGGGAGGTCTCAGGCACTTTGTCTGCCAGCAGCAACAGGAACACAGTAAGGGTCAGCAGGGCAAAGATAGAGAGCCCCATCTTCTCTCCTTGGAGGGACAGAGGAAAAGACAGAAGGATTAGGCTTTTCCAGAAGGCAATCTCCACAGCCATAATTGGTTGCCATGGTTCCAACCCACTCAAAGACAGGCTTTAGGAAGGGCCAGCTACATGCAAATGACTCCTACATTTATACCTCCAGCCTGGACTTATTCCTCTAAACTCCAGACATATCCACCTGCCTACCTAACCTCTTCACTTGGATGTCAATAGACATCTCAAACTTAACAGGTCTGCAATCAAATTTCCTCACCATCATCTCCTCCCACAATCTTCCTCATTTCATAAATAACAAATCTATTTTTTTCCTATGGCTCAGATCAAAATCTTTTGTGTCATTCTCAACTCTCCTCTTTCTTTCATCCCATATCCAATTCATAGCAAATCTCATTGGCTCTATCTTCAAAATGTATCCTGAAATTGATGACTTATCACATCTATCACTACCACCCTTGTACAAACCACCATTACCTCGAATCTGAGTTATTATAAAGACCTCCTCTTTGCTTCATCCTTTGCCCGGGGCCCCCTCTGTTCTTAACAGAGGCCTGATTGATCCTGTTAAAATGTAAATCAGATCCTGTCACTCCTCTTCTAAAACCTTCGGATTTACCTTAAAACCCATCTCCTTGAGCATAAGAGCCAAAGTCCTTATTATAATATATAAAGCCGTCCCTTTAGCATTCAGACTTCATCTTCTACTGTTTTCTCTTTTGCTTACTTCATTCAGTTACATGTTATTTCTTGAATATTCAATGCACCCTCCCACCTCAGGGCCTTTGTATTCACTGTTAATTCTTCCTGGTAATTTCTTTTCTTTTTCCTCTTGGTAATTTCTTCCTCCAGATATCTGCTAGGGTCATTCTCTCATCTTCTTCATGTCTTTGTTCAAATATTGATCAAATAATTCCCTTTTAGTAAGGCATGCACTGATCATCCTATTTTTAAGTTGCATTTCCTATACCCGTTCTCATCTTTTCCAACCCCTTTTCCTACTTTATTTTCCTCCTTAGGACTTGTCCTCTTCTAATATACTATCTAATGAATTTATTTATTATGTTTATTGACTGTCTCCCATACTAGAATCTAAACTCCATGAGAGCAGGGATTTTTGTCTGTTTTATTCACTGATGTATTCCCAGTGCCTTGCACATTATAGATACTCAACAAATATTGTTGCATAAATAAATGGACCAACCCTTGTAGCGGGTTTACAGGAAGTATATAGCAATTTGAAAGATCTAAAAATGAAACAAAGTATATAAGGATATGCCAGGTGGCTGATTATTCCTATGGCATACAACAGGCACTGCAAACTTCATGGAAGGTATTGAAATAAATAACTTTTAAGGTCTGCCCTACTTTAGTTCTATAATATTTGGTTCCAAGATTTGCCTTGCTCCAGGAGGAAGTAAAAGTTACATTTGGAAGTATGTT